ATTTACGACCGTTTACATTTTTCTACATTCCTGATTCACGACCGTTTACATTTTTCTACATTCCTGGTTTACGACCGTTTAGATTTTTCTACATTCCTGATTTACGACCGTTTACATTTTTCTACATTCCTGATTCACGACCGTTTACATTTTTCTACATTCCTGATTTACGACGGTTTACATTTTCTGAACAATAGTAGATATTTTAGATTATAAGCTCCCCCAAAAAATAATGCCACAAACAAGGACTGACAAAATCTACTTTATTTCGAGATGATAGTTGAACCACATAGTATTAGTTAAACCACTTTCCTTCAACTTGAGTCAGTGGTTTAACTTTGTCCCCGAAGTTAAACTACTTCTCACTATTCATTAAATTTTGTCTCTAAAGGTTACCTTTCCATGAAGTTAAGAATCATCTGCTTCCAGACAACTTGCTTCTCTTCGGGGGCAACATCATACTTCCATTTAGTTTCTACAAATATATAACATCATACTTCCATTTAGTTTCTACACATATATAACATCATACTTCCATTTAGTTTCTACAAATATATAACATCATACTTCCATTAAGTTTCTACATAAATATAACATCATACTTCCATTTAGTTTCTACAAATATATAACATCAAACTTCCATTTAGTTTCTACATATATATATAACATTATACTTCCATTTAGTTTCTACACATATCTTAAATTAACTGAAGTGCCCGGCGTTGCCCGTGGAAAAAAATTTTAATCTTGAAAGTGAATTTAGAAATTTTTTTTTTTTTGGGGGGGGGATTGAAAGGATTGAATGAGCGAAATAACGCTTATATAATTAGAAATTTGAAAACCAAAAGAATTTGATGAATAATTACGCGAATAAAAATAGTAAAAACGAAGTATTTGTAGAACATAGAAACCGTGGGTTTAAATACAGTTTAATTTTAGGCCAGAAAAGGTGAATTTATAAATCTTAAAAATACAAAAATAATTAAAAAATACCAATGATGCATTCTCTCAGGTTTTGCATCCCTGTTCCTTTTGGAGGAGGTCCACAGATATCAATTACGCGGTCAACCTAATAGATAGATAGATATATAGATAGATAGATAGATAGATAGATAGATAGATAGATAGATAGATAGATAGATAGATAGATAGATAGATAGATAGATATATAGATAGATAGATAGATAGATAGATAGATAGATAGATAGATAGATAGATAGATATATAAAAATAGGTTTTCCATTGTTCAATTGCTATTGATAAAATTTCCATCAAACTTTTCTATCCCATTATTCCAAAGTTAAAATTATCTGAATATACCATTTGTATTTCACGAACCGCGGGAACTATTCACCATAGTTTCAGTAGAAGCAAATATTTCCATTTAATGATAGCGCCGATTAAAGGATTCATAACTCTAATTCGATAATGAGATAGAAAGATAGACGTTACCGCCATACTATTTCTCAGAATAGACAACAAACACATGACTGAACCCTGATTGGATCAGGTGCTAATGGACTCGGCATACAGGAGTGTATTGATAATTAAACTATATTTTTAGAATTTAGGACTTTTTGATATCACAAAAATACAGTAATTTTACTAGGTTATTTTTTATTTCATAAAGAAATTGAGTTTTTGTAACCAACTCTGTTTTTCTAATTCCTATATTTTTGCAGCCTGATGGTGTAGACCTTTGATATTTATAGTTTGAATTAGAAAGGGTCCATGACATCGGGTTGCAAAGGTATAGAGAATAAGAATAAGAAAATCATAGTTTGTGGCAAGAACTCAGTTTCTTTCCATTGTGCTTATTATTTTAAATTTTGCACTTAGCTTCTTAAAGGGAGTGTTCGCGAAAAATGAAAACGGGTATAGGCTTACGTCGAAAAAATATCGATGATTACTAATATTACTTCTGTTGCGTCTATAATGAGAAAATGGTTAAAAACGACGTATACCGAAGAACGTAGCGTCCATACAAATTGAGCAAGTTGAAGCATTCGACTCGGATCGAAAAAAAGAATTGATATTCATGTTTTTAATTAACCTTTTGTTTTCCTTCTTTAGCCTCTGGTATTTTCTCTAGAAGCTCTTTGATGACATCAAATTCTCCCTTGATAAATGGATCGTCGTCGTCTTGAGTTCTGAAATATTCAGAAAAATATTTAAAATTTGATTTTAAATTAACTCATAATTTTTTTTCTGAAAAATTGTTTATATTTTAAGTAATTTTAAAAAGCGCAGACAGACACAACAATTTTGAGATTTTGTTTTAATTAATTCTAGATTTTACTTTACAAATTGATGAAGGAAAAATCAAAGACTATGAATCGTCTCTCATCTGTCATATGTCATTATTTTGTGATTATTAATTCAATTGTTTTAGTTTTAAAAAAGGCTGACGAATAAGTGCCGCAAATTATTTAAAAAATCAAAGACGATCTTCAAGTCGTCTCTTAACTGTCTTATTTTATACAAGGGTATTAATGAAATTTGCATGTTAGGGAAATATTCTGATTTTTAATTTAATTATTTTACTGTTCAAATTAGGTTAGTGAAATTATGCCGCAAAGGAAATGAGTTTTTGCAACAAAATCCTATTTTCTAATTTTAATAATTTAATAATTTAATAATTTAATAACTTCTCAACCAAATGTCGTTGACCATAGATATTTCAAACTATGCATTCTGTTAGATGAAATAGTCAAAGTTTGAAATATCAAAGGATTACGCTATTAGGTTGAAAAGATTTAGAGGTTTAAAAATTTGAGTTTGTGGAAAAGCCTCAATTCCTTTTTAAAAGATTAAGGATGATCTTCGAGACGTTTCTTAGCTAATATATTTCATTTTAGGGGGATTTCGTGACGTATTATTTATAAATGCTGCAAATTATTTTAGAGATCAAATACCTGGGTAAGGGAGCCTCGAACTTCTGTTTGATAAGATCATCAACTGTGGCTTGAGGAACTAGACCTATGTCTCCCATCCTCCTCAGCTCAGTACTAATCTGTATCTCCTTTACCAAGCAGGCAATGATCATCCCTGAATTCGATTTTTTTTTTAACTTTAGAAATGTTAATGTCCACTGTCCAGGGCTACACAAAATATAAGTGTGTTTGTAAAGTAGAACCAAAAGTTAATAGCCAAAGCGTTGCAACACTTCAAACTAGATCAGAGCTGACAACTCTTGTATTTTAATTTATCGGCTTCCGATTGGCTGTTCGATTTCTACACTCTGATTGGCTACAGTTTATACAATTACCTGGATATTAATGTAAGATCAAATTATTCTTCAGATTAATTAAAAGAGGATATCAAGAGATATGCAGAGTTATATTGCTGAAAGATAGAATAATTAAGGAGATCAAGAGATATGCAGAATTATATTGCTGAAAGATAGAATAATTGAGGAGATCAAGAGATATGCAGAGTTATATTGCTGAAAGATAGAAGAATTAAGGAGATCAAGAGATATGCAGAATTATAGTGTTGAAAGATAGAAAAATTGAGGAGATCAAGAGATATGCCGAATTACAGTGCTGAAAGATAGAATAATTGAGGAGATAAAGAGATATGCAGAATTATAGTGCTTAAAGATAGAATAATTGAGGAGATCAAGAGATATGCAGAATTATACTGCTGAAAGATAGAATAATTGAGGAGATCAAGAGATATGCAGAATTATAGTGCTGAAAGATAGAATAAATTTGAATGATTCTTTATGCCAAAAACAATTTACCTCGGTTCGCTTGAAATATCATATGTATAAGAAAAGGTGACATAATTTTTTTCTTCATTTTTCGGAAACAATATGGTAAATTGCTCTGTTTAAAATTCATCTTTGATGGAGAGTTACGAACATTTTAGAGGTTTTTCTCCAGTAAAATAAAATTGCTTTCATCGATTCGTCATAGGTGGAATGCCAAAGTCTCATATAAAGTTTTGAGATTTTCCGAAAATAACTTTGGCTGATTTTCTGTTACCTAATGTCGTCCTCCCTCGGCCCATCTGACAGGAGAACACACACTGTGTAGCAGCAGGCTCCTAAATGAATTTTTTTTTATTTAAATAAAAAATGAAATAAATATGAGGAAAAAAGACTTATTTTCTTCGTTTTTTCGTTGATAAGAGTTTCAATTATCACTTCATGAGAAAAGGGGAATGCCCGATTTACAACGGTACCCTTTAAAATTTTGATTATTAATCGAGGACTGAAATCTCCGTTTATATTGATATTTAGCTCGCCAAAATCGGCGAGTTTAAATTTAAACCCAGGATTAAAATCTTGAAATCCTGCATTTTCCCTATTTGTTTATTAATCAATCATTATTAATGCTGAGAAAGCAGCATTCGACTGTACGATATATTTAAAAGTGAAAACCTTGATTGAAGAAATTTCACGTTTTAGATTGATTAATTTTTGCATGTAAATTTTTTAAAATAAAAAACAGCTGACGGGCGATGGTTAGGTAATATCTGTCCGTAAATCCTTTTCTCTAATTGGTTCAGATTTTTCCCGGGAAATTCAAATTTCCTTTCAAGGTTTAATTGAGAAAGTTTAATATTTAAGTAGCAACTCATTATTTTACAGTATTTTTTAAGCTATTTCTCGCATTCTTTAGTTTTAGACTTTGAGTGTTTGGTGTGAATTGGACATGACACACTAAAAATGTAGAGTTCTCTTGAAATTACGGCTACAGTTTCTTGAAATTGAAAAAAGTAGCAATTAGGAGCTTTTTCTCCACTTAAAAATTTTTTGAGACATATATTTGACAATTTCATAAAGAAAGCAAATAACAATTGCTAAAAACTCAATGTTTTAAAGTTAATCTAATCCAACAAATCTATACCATATATTCATAGAGAAGAGAATTGAGTTCTTGCCACCAACTCAAATTTGCTAATCCCTATATATTTTCAACCTTATAGTGTAAACCTTTGATATTTCAAACCTTTTGATCAAATAAAATGCATATAGTTTGAAATATCAAAGGCCTCCGACATTGGGTTTCAAAGATCAGATTTAGACTTTGTGGCAAAAACTCAGTCCCTTTTAAATAAGAATATGTTTTTTTTGGGCTTCGACGGTCGACACCGGGCACATCAGCTAGTTGTTCATGATGGAAAAAAACATTGTTAAAAAAAACTGATTATTTTCCCTGTTATCCAACCTGTTTGAGAGAATCAACAAGAATATCGAAACATTTCTCATCTGGAGCTCGTTCTTCTACGACAGGGACTCGAACTCCTTGCAGATTACTGAATCCATTCTCACGCAGACTATCATACACATTATGCAGACCTAGACAAGTAAAACATTTTAAAGGGGCGCGATAAAAATAAATAAAGAGTCTTATGTCTGATTCACAACTGTACCCTAAAAACTTATATCGAAGTACAAATGAGGATGAGGAAGATATCGGTTTATTTCTAAACATGAAAATAAAAAAAAATAATACAGGGTGAGTCAAATAAACCTGGATTAGCGATGTTTTGCAAATTTTCAAAATTTTGAAAAAAATCCACGAATCGATATTTTTACAAAGAATAAAATTTGATTGGAAAAATTCGCGAATTTTAATGTTTTTTAGCTAAAATCCGAAAGAAATTAAAATTTTGAATATTTTTTGTAAAACATCGCTAATCCTTTTTTAACTCACCCTGTATGATATCATTACAGATTAAATTTTGTATGCAGGCCGCCATGTTTTCTGATGCTTTCTTCACCAAAAACTTAATGAATCAGCAAATTTGCGGCCTTGCCTAAGGATACTTAAACACGGTTGAGGACAGATAAATTTCAAAATTTCTAATCTGCAGGTGGGAATTGGGAGTAGGAGGGGGGAGGGGGTGCTACAAGAGAGATATTTTCTCCCTAGAAATGTTTCTGATTTAAAGCTTTTTACTGCTACTGGTTCATGTTTTCTATAGTTAACTTATAATTTAATAATATCATTAATAATAATAATATTAATTCGGCGACACAATAGGGATATCTTCTATTGAAAAATTCCAACCTCTGAGCACTTTTATCTTTAACTTATTAATATTAAATACATGAAAAACATTAACATGAGAAATAAATATGAGATAAAATTCAAGATTTGAAAGTAAAGAAAATCTAGAATTACAATTAGAAAGAAAATGTAATCTCGGCATTTAGTGCTTATTTGTGTCGCACATTGTTAAACAAATTTGGAATAAATATTAAAATTATGATTTGCAAAATTTTCAGAATTTCTCAGATTTTTGCATCATTTCTGCAGGATTATCCGTCTCCTTATACTCTGCTAATACCAACTAAGATTGAGAATTTGAATAGAAGTGTTTGCTTGTCTGCAAATATAAATTTATATATTTGTATACAAATATAAATTTATATATTTATATAAATATATAAATTTATATATTTATATAAATATATAAATTTATATATTTATATAAATATATAAATTTATATATGTATATAAATATAACTAAAAATACAGGGTGTCAGTCTATAGCACTCACCATAGTTCATTTTTTTATTTTGGACATTTTTGAAATTTATGGAACATTTCGAATTATCGAATTAAAATTAAAGAAGTAAGAACAGTTTGAAATTGTACGTTATTGCTTGCATGAGTTTATGAATTTGCATTATACCATTATTATGGAATTTTATTAGGGTCTGAAAAAGTGAAAATCCACAAAGTACCACAAAAACTTTAGGCCTGTTCTTTTAATGGAGTTTTGGCGCAAAGGAGTTGGTCACTCAGCACCAAAGGGGTATATCTTCCTTACAAATCATTATTTTTACATCTTGTTTTTTCTAAAGTAAGTCCTGTATATCCCTGAATGGTGTTCTGGCCAGGATGTACCTTGAAATGATTTGTAAGGAAGATATACCCCTGTGGGGTGCTGAGTGACCAACTCCTTTCACCATGCAAGACATCCTGCTTTGAGTCAGTTATCATTATAACTATCATTGAACAATATTCTAAATCATTTTTGTGTAATAATAAACCCTTATTATAATCTATTGAAAAAAAGGTGAATGGTCTATTATCAATATTCAACCTAGTCAAAATGTCAAATTTCAAACTGTTCTTTATTCTTTAATTTGTGTGCTATACATACCTCTAATTGATATTAATCGATCAGAAATGTTTCATAGATTTAAAAAATGTCCAAAACTGTTTAACCATGGTAAGTGCTACAATGTCTAAAAGTGCGTTATTTAGAGACACCTTGTTTATTCATTGAAAACTTCAGAGGGATTAACACACTATAGGAGTAAAGAAGATTTATCTAAATGAGGAAATTTAATTTTATTTTCCCTTTTCTGTGGAAGATTGAAAATTGAGAAGAAGTGCGTTGTTGAAAGTACATTTAAAAATATCACTTTCACTATGATTAAGCTACGAGACTCTAATCCTTTTTTATTATATTTGAGTGTGGAGGGGGGGGGGGTCAACCCCCTCATTTTATTTTCGTGGTTCAACACTTTTCAAATCTTTTCTAATCTACATTGAGGAAAGGAATTGAGTCTTTGCCACAAACTCAAACTTTCTAATCCATATAACTTTGCAAAATATTGGCGTAAGCCTTTGGTATTTCAAACTTTGAAAATTTAATCTAAGAGAATTCATAGTTTGAAATATCTAAGTTCTACGATATTGGGTCAAAAAGATATTTGAATTTGAAATTTAGAGTTTGTGGCGAAGACTTAATTCCTTTATACATGATGAACATATCTTGTATTCAATATTCAATATGGTAAAGTTTCTATTTCAAACTGCTCTGTTCATTAAAATGATTCTTTTGGCTGGATCCACAATAGGAGTAATTTAGATTTTTTTGCCACAAACTCTGATTTTCTAATCCTTATGTCCGGATTGTATTGTGACGAACATTTAGATTTGTTGGCATTGAATTAAACAAAAATATGCTATGCACATAAACATAAAATTTTTGTAAAATCATTATCTTTAAAATATGAAAAAAAAATAATTTATGAAATTTCTATTATAATTTTAGGCCTTAGCCCCCCCGGCCATTTTCTTTCTCATTTGTGTATTACTATATGACATGGGCAAAATGCAAATTAATTATGTTTTTGTGACTTACATTACTTTCTTAATCATCCTATATAACTCTTTTCTTCATAAACATTTCAGAAGAGAAAATAAAAAAAATGCATCTTAAAATATTTTAAAAATACTTTGCTTGTGTGTCCAAAAAACGTTAAAACGGCTGAACCGATTGGGTTCACATATTTTGTGGAACCTCACATGAATCCAGGGAAGGTTTATGGATGCTAAGAATTTCAAAAACTTTTCTCCGAAAAGTTTAGACTTTTGTAAAATTTTGAAACTCCGGGAAAAAATATCCTTTAGACAGCGCACTTTTTTGTTTGTTTTATATTGTACAAAGATAAGATGGCGCTAAGCGCCCTAAAACCCTATTATTTTAAATTTTTATCTGAGAGTATCTATTTGTGTGACTCCAATAATTAATGGCATCGTGTCTCAAACTCTGCAAACGAAGACATCTTTGCTTTTCATTTTTGCCACAAATTCTGAATTCCTAATCCCCATATCTTTGAAATCTGATGGTGTATACTTTTGATATTTCAAACTATCATTCTTTGAAAAAGTTTGAATTATCTCAGGTCTCCGACATTGAATTCCACCGATATAAGGATTAGAAAATCTAAATTTTTGGCAAAAAAAATTTAAAATTTTAAGTTACCTCTAACGGTTTCCACCTTGACTACTTCCTGAACATCTTCCCTCTCCATAGGGTTCTCTGTGAACGTACTATCCTAGAGCAATATTGTCATTTATGTTCAAAATCATAATCAGAATCAACTTTTTTCTGATATCTATGTTAAAAAGCTCTTCGCTCATAAATATATATTTGTATATATAAATATTTATATGTTAGCTATAGCTGGCCAAACAGCTGAACCGAATGGCTGAAATATTTTTGAGAGAACCCTTGAGAACCCCGTGGGTAACATTAGATTTTTTTTAATAGCCACTAAAGGAAAATGAAACATTAAGAAAAGAATTACTCCATTATTATTCATGGGAAAGAGTATAGGCAACAAAAAAATAAAATGAAAAAGAAAAATTACAGAGCATGCACTAATATAACTTTACTCTGAACTGTTTTGTTTGTGAGGGGGGGGAGGTAATATTGTTGGTATGCAGCCAATATTATTATTTTCTGAATGTTAGAATCTATCATAAAAACTGTAAATAAAAACTGTATAATGCTAAAATTTTACTATTTTGACAGTTTTGCTAATTTTAGAAATAGAATAGGATAGAACAAAAACCTCCTTCAAAACTTTATGACTTTATGAATTGGAGGAAAAAGCTTACTTTGTGAATTTTCAGAGTTTGATCAGCAGCTTCAGCTACTCGGGCCTGAAATAATCAAATATGAATTACTTTTAATTTTTATCCTTTTCAAACAAGGATTAAACTGTCGGCTAGCTTTAGAATTTGCTAATCTGGTCAGGAACTATCGTCTCACATAAATTTCACTAGAAGAGGATCATTTGTTTGACTTTATGTCTCGTGTTGCCTTATATAGTCTGTATTTGTACTTAAAGCTTGCTCTAGCTGATTAAAAGTGGGCCGGGTACTTGAAATGTACCGGAGTTTACAGAGGCCTCAAACTCTAATTTTGAAATCTCAATTATTTTTAAATATTTGTTAAAAAATTGGCTGTTTCATTAATCAGGGTTCGATGTTTAATTGCGATATTATAAATTAACGACATGCAAGTGCAAAATTAGAAAATTAAAACTAGAAGGTTAAACATGCTAAACTGTGATTAAAAATGGATTTTCTTATATTTGTTTCTTTAGTTTTTTTATTTTTTTTTTGGGGGCNGCTCCAGGTTCTCATGCATCCTAGATTATAAACAGGTTCATTTAGCTCCAGGTTCTCATGCATCCTAGATTATAAACAGGTTCATTTAGCTCCAGGTTCTCATGCATCCTAGATTATAAACAGGTTCATTTAGCTCCAGGTTCTCATGCATCCTAGATTATAAACAGGTTCATTTAGCTCCAGGTTCTCATGCATCCTAGATTATAAACAGGTTCATTTAGCTCCAGGTTCTCATGCATCCTAGATTATAAACAGGTTCATTTAGCTCCAGGTTCTCATGCATCCTAGATTATTAGATTTATTTTCATTTCATTTTTCAAAAATATTTTCTCCTCAGATATAAATTTGAAAATGTTTACTTAAAAACGACGTGAAAAAGCAATTTCCTTTCTTTTCGCTTTAGATTTTTGAAAACTTACTATTCTTTGTTAAGAAAGATTCATCATGTTACATATTATGATCTACCAAAATCACAGTTAAAAACTTTTGAAAGAGAAAAACGAAACAACAAAAACATAGTTTGATTACAAATAAAAAAAAGTTTCGTTTTCAACTTTTTACTGCCGCTGCAGACGAATCGACCAAAGCTAGTTTTTAAAAAGTAAAACTTTCCATTCCTTCTTGTCTAGGCCTAACTAGAGACGTAGTTCACTTACCTACACATAGTTTAACTATGTTTTTGCGCACACAATTTTTGAAAAATTAACTTACTTCTCTGGGTTTCTGGGCGCGTAGGGTATTCCGTTAACATAGATAACAGGTTCCTGTCTCATGTTATACCAGATAGTTTTCAC